TATATATAGTTTGAATATATATAAAATATCCAGTACTGTTTCGATTTTAATCGTACTGGAATTTTACTTTAAAAAAAAAATAAAGATTTTCCACACTTTCCCTAAACAATGCAAATATTTATCTCCTCCTCCCTTCAAGAATAAAAATTCCGTGCAAACATTTCAGTAAACATCAATACGAGGTAAACTGCCAAATTCAGACACTGCAGCCCCGCTACCCTCAAATAACCGTTTTGTATTTTCCAGATCAGTCTCTGATAAAAACTAAACTTTTTTTTTTATTTTACAGATTTGTAATATGGATGTACTGTGGTTGATATTCACTGGTATTTATAGCCAACCAAAATGATCCATTAGATGTATAATGACGTCATCATATTTAACTGGAAGTTCTTTACAATTACCTAAAATAATATAAGAGGCTTTTAGATATTTTATGCGACTCTATTTTAATGAAATTTGATAGTGCATAGACAAAGCTTTATGCTGGGTCAAACATCTATTCTGCTAGGGTTAAGTTTATGATTATGGTTAGGGTTAAGTGGCTGTTATAAACAATTTTGTCCATATCATTTTGGGTTCTAACATCTACCGTATTCTGCTAGGGTTTATCAGCAATATGCAGTAGAACAGTTGCTCATTCATGACGTAATAAAAATCAAATAAATCTCAATGATGTAAATATAGGCTAATAGTGTCTTTTTTTTTATCCTAATGCTTCTTTGTTTCTCTGATCAGCAGCCCAGGTATCGGACAATAACGCTTTAGTTGGGGACCCCGTCAACCCCGTCCTGTGCCCGCCGAGAATATGAGTTCCCTTATTGGGTAAATACTGGCGCCAAACCTGGACCAGATTACCTGGTAAAAACGGTTGATAATTACCTATTATTGTGGGAGTATCCGGTTCCATGGTTCGCCGAGTCCCTCTTTTCTAGCAAGCCTCCTCTTAAAAGCAAAACCAATCCTCAACTTGCATCAAATACCATACAAAATACTAAAATTCATCATATGCTAGAATGATCAGCTTTCATGATCAGCAAATTGTTCAATTTTTTTTTAATGGAGATATAAGGACAATTATATTTAAATATTAAGTCTGAGAGTGTAAATTCAGGCCATCAGAAGTGCCATAATCACATTCTTACCCCAACCATAGTGTGACTGAGTTGGTATAGATTCTCCATCTGCTGAAGTACCCAGTAGCGGATTCAAGGGGACCAAGCCGGCCTGCCCCTACCCCCTTAATTTGTTTAATAAAAAATGGAGATACAAAGATAATTTTATGTCTGGAAGTGCAATTTCCGGCCATCTAGAGGTGCCATAATCACAAATTATCTTCTATCTGTGAAAGTACCTCCCCCCGGGCCCTTCTATTTCGAATTTCTGGATCGGCCACTAAATTACAACAAATATGAAATCATAATTATTACAGTAGCTTGATGCCTATAAAATAACTAATAAAATTCACCAAACTTCGTAAAATATCCGTAGCTTCGTGGGGGGAGGGACCCCACCGGAGGCCCTTGGCGGCCCCCTGGCCCCCAGCCTAGATGCTTGCTTTTCTCGCATACTGGACTTTATGAAATGCCCCTCCTCCACTTTAAAAAAACGTTCCGCCGCCGTTGGATTACATGGTCTTAATATCCTCGATCTTTAATTAGCATACGAAACATAAGAGAAATTTGTTAATTTTGAACCTAGTAAAGGAGCTTATGTATTTTTATTCGCAATTCATATTAATTTATGGCAACAACGCTTTTCCGACGCAAAATTTTATACTGAACAAGGAAAATGTTGGTGCCAATTTTTTCGAGACGGTCAACTGGCCGTGGTGGACACATCTAGTAAAACATATCATTATGTAGTATTATTGGAAAGGAAATAATGCACTGAATATTTTTTCCCATTACACTATCATAAAAAATTAAACATGGCATTGTCTGCTGCCCTCTATTGGTGAAAATTTCGCTTTCGTAGTTTCTTGTCAAATTTAGTTAGATTTCTCAATTCTAATACCGATACTTTGTAGATCCTTGTTTGTAACTGGACTGATACACTGATAACAAAAACATTTATATTCATGTTTATTAGTTTTTTCATGAAATAATAGAAAAATCATCACTTTTGTTGTGTAGAGCCTTTATTGTATAGACTATAGATAATAGGTGAACCATCCCCGCCAGAGACCATCCTAGTCCTTCTGAGCTTAGGGTTAAAAAAATCATTTGGCAGAAAAACATATGGACCGTGACATGAAATGCTTTTGATACTGAGAGCATGGATAAGGCTTTTTTTGTATTTTGTCATTGTAGCGTTATTTCTTATTATTTAAATGGGACCATTTCGGAAACAAGCAGACATGCTTTAAGGGTTATATCCTGAAATTCTCTAATTGTCGAAACAGATCACATCAAATCATAATAATGTCAGATAGTAGATAATTAATTCACATAATAATAGGCACTACTCATAAAAAAGTGAGTTAATAATTTAATGTCCAACATCATCATACTGAGTCAAGGCTAAAACAATATTACATAATTGACAGTAAAGAAAAAAATAAATGAGCTGAAACACATGACTGCCTAATTTTGAGAGCTATAGTAGGCCTAATATTAATTTGTTAGAAATTAATATGGACCTCAGATGATAATACAAATGGAGTGATCTAATACTATTTCATGAAAAGGAAGTCAGTGCCGGTGGGTATCAATATGTGTAGCAAAATAAATGTGTTAAGAAATATTTAACCAGATCAGTAGTACAGTACAGGGAGGAGGAAAGCCGGCCGTGCCTCCTAAATATTTAAAAATTATGAAAAATGGGGTAGAAATAAAAATTATACCACAAATTTCCCGGAAATGACTTCTTCCAACTTGGAACCCCTGTATTAGGTGGGCTCTTTTTGTAGGCAGATTTTTTGGGGGGATTCGGCCAACGGTTTCTTAAACACAGAGTCGTAACAGCTAGGTTTGCCTAACGATATTCTTCCAGCAAAATTGTGCCTGTCGTGCCAAGATGCATGAAGGCTGTTATCACATCATCCTTTGATTTTGTTTAGCTCCAAAAATTAAACAGAAATACCGAGAGTTCAGCAGAGAACTTTAATTATAAAAATTAAAATGAAATGTGCCTGTTATTACTGTAGGTGAATCTATAATCTACAATTCATTATTATTTAGATATATGGTAATTATCATGTCACCTTTTTTGTTGTAACCCCCGAAATCCGGATTCACAGGTATCGGGATGGTTTTGTGAGATAGTCTCATTCTTCAAAACGTCTACATGAAAAGTGTTAATCATAGATAAATCTGCTACCGTATTTATTTGAATAAACATCCCCTCTAGAGCCTCATTTGGAATAAACGCCTTAATTTTTTCCTCAAATAATCAAATCCCCACCCAACCAAATGACTGTAAAACAAAGCAACATTACTGTCAACAGATTCTATTGATTTTTTACTCCAGTAGAATCAAATTTTTCTCTTTCGTTTTGTTAGTAATTATGTGTTGTAGTGAAATTTAAGGGCATATATTTTGAGTATATATGCATCTAATTCACACCAAAAGAAATTAATAATAATAATAATAATAATAATAATAATAATAATAATAATAATATAATAAATGCCTCCGTTAAGTAAACGCCCCCTCAAAACCCTTCTTAACAATGAAAGTCTGGGTGTTTATTGCAATAAATATAATATTCACGCAATATTCATAATTAAACAGTCTGCTAAACGATTTTGTTTTTTCCTAGACTGGAAAAAATACCAGGATATTGCAGATGTATTAAAATATATTAATAGGAAACTGTCACTGCAATAAACAAATAATATAGCTATTTACATTGTTTAATGAAAAAAAATACACATCAATGTATCAAATTAGTTACTAACATAAGACTACAAAATACCAGTATTAGAACGAAGAAAACCAGCCAACTTCATACAAACAACAATAAAAATGAAATTTTCACAAATAGAGGGCAGCAGACAATGACGTGTTTAATGGCGAATATCTCCTTTTCTGTGCATTTTTTCATATTAGCGTAGTGGGAAAAATATTCAGTGCATGATTTCCTTTCTAATGATACCACATGTGACCAGATGTGTCCGTTATCTTGTTTTCCAAGATAGCGGCCAGATAACCTCGAAAAAATTGGCACGTTTAGGAAAACCCGAATACAATGTGTGAAAAACCGTCAGGAATTAGCTTGGTTCACGTCGAACTTTAGATATACCACGTCTTGAAACATGATAAGATAATCCCCTAATTGTGTTCGATGCCAAGTTAGAGCCAGATAAACAGCCAGCCAGTTTCAGGCCGTCGACGTCACACGGTGGAAAGGCTTGTTTAATAAAACA